CAGGGAGAGGGTAGGGGAATGGATATGATCAAAATGTGCTTTATGGATGTATGAAAATATCACACTGCAACTCCAAATTTTGCAAAATTACTAGGCACTAATAAAATATAAATACTTAGAAAAGAAAGAATAACTACAAAGGCGACTATCTAACTCCGTAAGAAAATATTCTTGAATTGCCAGCAGGAACACACCTAGACACTAGATAATAATTTATGTACATTTAAAGCACTACTTCCAAAATATCTGCCCGACAATTCTTATTGAAGAAAAAACTTTATACTTTCAGTTTTATTTGTATATGTACAGATTTTCAATTTTAGAAATGTGTATTGATGGAATTTTTCATTGATTTTATGAAATGTTGATAAGAAGACACAGTTTTGCCTTGAATTTCAGAGATGGTGCTTGTGAATCAGAGAGGTAAAGTTCCTCAAAGATCTCCAAGTCTAGTTAATTGTGGGAGAATAAATTATTTGTTAATAACTCCTCAAGCCAACTAAATTCTCTATGACTACGGGCCACATTCCGAGGCGGCCATTCACAAGTAGAGAGCAGGGCAGACAGAGTGGAGGGAAGAGGTCCCTGTCCCAGGTTACCAGCACCTCACCCTTCCACTAGGAACAGCATTCATTGAAGGGCTCTGCCTTCCAGGGTTCCTTGCCTTTTTGTTTTTGTCTTCATGGAGACAGGGTCCCAGGCTGGCCCTAGAACTCAGTTATGTAGCTCAGGCTGGCCTCCAACTCGTGCCAATCCTCCTGCCTCTGCCTCCTGAGGGCTGGGATTACAGGCGTGAGCCACCACGCCTGGCTTCGTCCTTGATTTCTAAGGCCTAGGATTCTGCTTTCCTCCACCGATTAGTACAAGATCAGTGTACGGTAGTGCCTATCAGGCAGTGGTGTGGATCTTCCAGACACTGGTCTCTCCTTTCCTAACCAGACTTTCAGTGACTTCTGCTGTTCCTATATAGTTCAATCCATGCACATTCTGAAATTAATCACTCTCACAGTTTGTTAAAAAAAAAAAGTGATGGATCTAGTATCCATTAGGCTACTGTTAATGAGAGAACGTAAGTGTGAATAAAATGGTGAATCTGACCAAATCTAAATTCATTAGCTCCATCTGGTTTAGAAACTACTCTAATCAATCTCTCTCTCTCTCTCTCTCTCTCTCTGTGTATTTTAATCTCCCAAAGTCTACTTATGTTAATAATCTGTATGATTCCTTTTTACTATTTTATTTTGTTTTTTAGTTTAACAAGAAACACACAGGAATGAGAGAAGATATACATAAACAAGAGGTGGATAATAACCTACAATCCCTCACTGAGAAATATGATTTGCCTTACTCTTTAATGGCCTAGAAGGCCACAACTACTCTTTCCCTTGTAGTAGGGCTTTCTGTAAGTAACTCAAAATAAACCAAATGTGCATGCAACAAACTAGCACAATCTATATAAAATAAGCTAACTGTATCAATCATCTCACCAAAACACTGTTATATTTACTAGAAATCAGCATTAAAATGGTATAAGTATAAACAATGTTGCACAGAGCATGTCATTTATCATGTGTGTTTTCTATATGTGTTGAATGCGGAAGATGTATTAGATGAACAATAAAACATTGACTATTTCATACTCGCAAGGAAACTAAATCTTTTTCTCCAATTGACTTAACACATGACTGAATCTCCGGAGCTTATGAAAATTTATTACATTTCATCTTGAGCCCCATTTGGGAAAGAAAGGACAGAGTTTCTCTCCAAATTATAACTCACAATGCTACCGCGGTTCCATAACCATGATCAATATTGATGAATAACAATGAAAAGAAAAGGCTGCCTTCCACCAGGCATGACAGCACCTTCGGGGACTCTGCAGACTATCAGGGGACCCCCAGCTTCTTGCTGGCAACATAGACCACTGTGCTCAATTTGAGGCTTTGGTGAACTAAAGTTTGTTTGGTTGGCTTTGACTAATTTCCTATGGGAAATCAGCTCAGTGAAATCCATAGGTAGCTCTCAACTTTTGGCTTTTAAAGGAGCAATTTTGCAAAATTAACACGTTGGAAACTTTGCCACCACCAGGAACATAAACACAGGTATTCTCACTCATACCCCAATACACCTTAGATAACAATTGTGTGTGTGTGTGAGAGTGTGAGTGCCTATGCGTGCGTGTGTGTGTGTGTGTGTGAGAGAGAGAGAGAGAGAGAGAGAGAGAGAGAGAGAGACTCGGCACGAAGCAACACAGTCAATATCAAGCACAATTAATGCAACTAAACATGATCGATATGAAACACACTTCTTCACAGAACATTTATACACACGTGAACTAGCAATGCGAAGACTGAGGGAGGGGAAGAAAACAAAACTGGGTCTTTCAAGTCATTTAAGGGCCAGAGATTTGGCTCAATGGTTCTGCTGCCTGCCTTGCAAGCACAAGGGCTTGAGTTCGATCCCTGTTACCAAAACAACAACAACAACAACAAAAACAAATAAAGGCATTTAGAAACGATGTCGAGTCCATTTTTCTAATGCAAGAGAAGGTAATATATCTGCAGCAATATTTTATATACCTGAAATTAATTTTTAAACAGGTAGTCTGTGTTATGATTTAGAAAATGCTCCTTGCTTTATCCCACGTGATGAACAGCCTTCTGTCCGACCTGTTTTGATATTTCTGATAACCTCAAAAGCCATCAACATCCCTTCTTCATCTGATAGGATTTGCCTTAAACTTCCTTAAACTTCCCTCTGTGTGCAGCATAGTTCTTCAAAGGCCTCTGACACTTCTGCCCACCTCCTGAGCAGGAGAACGGACAGCCGTTGCTCCTAACAGCATCGCACAGCCTTGGAAGACAGAAGTAGTTGCCCCTATGGGGAACTGGACAGACTTGCATACAGTCCAATCTAGTAATAATGACCACTTATCCTTCCATCGCGAAGGACAGGTTTTCTTCCTTCCATTATGAAGAAATCAAATGTCCAAAACTCAGGGTGCCAGGGAATAAACCCACTATGTGTAGGTGTCACTAGGGGGAGTCCTGAAGGAGATGGAGCATAGAGGACAGATGCAAAGAAATGACAGTCTTTTGGCTACTGAGCTGCTATCACTAATGTTTCCTTTGTCCTGTGTCTGTCACCACTGATGAGACCCTCAGCCCTCCAGAGTTCTTAACATCCCATTACCCCATCTCTGCCCTTCCGATTATGGGATAGATGCTCTTCTTTACTCAGACCCTTTAGTGGTGACTTAATTGGGCTGGTGGCCTTTCTTTCTATTTACTCTCTCTCCAGGTTTCTGCCTCCTTAACTCAATGTTTCTCAGTCGAAAGTCTTCACTTGTCCAGGAAAACAAGAATCAGATTAATAAGAGGTGACAATGGGCTAGAGTCAGAGGATAATGACAGGAATCGATGAATATCAAGGAGAGCAGAGACTATATATGGAGTAGGAGCCTGTAAAAAGCTGGACAGCAATGGGCTTTCCATGCCATCCCTATCAGAGACGTCATTTTAAAGAAGTACTGCATCTGGGAGCCTGGAGAATGTATGTGCAGCTAAGCTAAGCTAAGTGCCTGGCTTATTACACAGCTTTGATTCTATTTCTTTATTTCTCAGCGTTCACTGCTAAAATCGCCACTTCCTCATTGTCCTCTTTCTTCTTTATCAACCTCTAAGAATACAATTAGTGGACGCATATCCACAGGAATGTGATCAGTGATAAGCAGCTCAGGGATATTTTCCTTTCTGCTGCTTCTCATTTCAGAAAGTGCAAAGGAACGAGCAGTTGCCTGCTGGGAAGAGAGTTCTGAGAATCAATAGGAAGTTGTCAAATGCAGCAACTTGGGCCAAAACCCCAAAAACCTCGATTCAGCAGGGCTGGAGTAGGGCTCTGCGGTTTCCCATGGATGCTGAACTTCTTGAGCGATTCCAGACTTGTCTGCACAGCATTCAAAGAAATTCTGCCCTAGGAACTCCTTCCTTCATCCAGCATCATGCAAGTGTGCTCCACCTAACAGAGACAGCTCTGCCCCAGTGCACAGACTACTCACTGACACACGTGAGCTAATGACAGTGATGTGGTCCTGACAGAGAGCTCAACTGCTAGGCGTGTTTAGAAAGTTATTTTATTTTATTTTATTTAGCCCTGGAGATGGAAGGAGTCTCATTAATGTGAAGTAACTGATCAGTTTTAGCATTTCTGGATTTCTATCTGTTCCGCAGTATAATACTATGCATACATTATTGGCATGCACCAGATGTGGAGAGATGTACAAAAGGCGTAACGAAGAGGATTGTACCATGTCTATGTTTTTTTGTAGAGAACTGGTATACCAAAGGTATTTTACTCAGGAAAAGTAGTATAAAAACATTTTAAAGATAAACAATTGGGCTAGTAAGTCACTGCTATTGAGACAGTAAGATATATAATAATACTGAAAAGCTGTTTATTTCAGTGCCTTGAGGCATTTAGACCAAGGGTATGAGACAGTACCACTGGGATTCTGTAGGCCTTTGACTTATCACTGCCTAATAATGACGTGATAGGGAAATTCTCCCTGACTCTTCTCAGGCCTTTCCAAAGTAAGGAGGATCAAATCATCCAAGTAATGCAAACATCACAGTCACAGTACAGGTCTCCTTTCTAGGACCAGGTGTCTCCATCAGGCCTGACTGGGATGTAAGCCCTTACACCTAGTTCCTGTGTCCTCCAGGTGAGGGCCGTAGAGGAAGGAGCCTTGTGCACCGTTCTTTAGACTGTTGGTGCCATTTGAATCTGTACTTCAAACTGAATTACTGTGGGATTAGTTGAGACAATTAGTGTCCCATAAAACAACTCGGCATGTATTTCAACATGTGCACATTTTCACCGACACTGGGTGATATTTAGCAATAAACCACCTCTTAGGAAAACAGCAGCAACTTCACACAATATTTTTCCTGGTATTTAATCTTTCCTCCCAAATGATCTTGAAAAAGAATACCAAGACTTACAGTTCACGATGATTTTTACTTTCTTCACGTCTGGGAAGGACACATCATTTTCTGCACTGCATTCATATTCCCCAGCCTGGTCCCTTGTAATTGCGTAAATGTCCAAATATTGTCCACTGTCAAATGGTTTTGCTACAAAATAAAAAAGAAACAGCATGTTAAATTGTAGCTGCCTGAGGCTTCATTCGAGTAAAACAACAATCGCGTGAGTTCTTACTAGATTGTGCTGACGAAACAATTCCAAATGAAACTGGAGAATTATTAAACTCTTGGTTCTTCCATGTTCACAGGAAAACTCCAAGAAAATAGCAGCTGCAGAACAAGGGATATTATAAAACCATTTTCCCCGAACCGGATATACATGTGTTCCTTTTAATTGACGGTGGTCCTCTAACCTCCACACACATCAAATAGAGCTCTGCTCAGTTCTGTAATTGAGTTCAACAACTTTCCTCCAGTGCAGATGAAATTCACTAATATGATTCGGTACATATTGACTTTTATCCAATGTGAGCCAGGAACTTGACACTTAACTAAATGTTACTTCTCCTTTGTGAAAATCTATCCTTACTCAAGCTTTTAAGCCAGATGGCTTGATAAGAGTGTGTGGATCTATAAAACTACTGCCATGTTTCTGTTTCCAAAATTATTGTTTCCAAGAAGGTTACACAGTCAACATTGTATAACAAGATCTGATAATTTTTTAAATGCTTTATTATTTGCAAACTAAGAGTTATGCAATTATTTAAAAAAATCATCTTGGCTTTTTAGTAATCCAGAGAAAACATTCTATTGGACTAAAAATAACGAAAGATTAAAAACACGAAGGCATAATCACAAATGGAAGAGCATCCTCACTGAATGAGATTGGAAATAAAGACTCCTTTAATAATGAGGTTTTTAATTAATTGAAAGCACAAACCCACTGAGCAGTGACAAACTGAAGGTTGGGCCTGTGTGATGTCAAGAGCAAGGACCCTACACAGCCCTCTGGTCCCAGGCCAGAAAAGTCACATTTCAGTGTGTGCCAAAGCGAATCTGAAATGAAGCAATAGCTTCCTCTGAACGATCTCTTTCTATGAAGTCAATGGTGTTTGTGTCTTCAGCCTACTCTTTTCAAGAAAAGCTATAATGATGCGGAAGTTAGAAAGTTAATAAGAAGATTTAATTTTAGTGAAATCAAACAAAATGATGCTTTGTTCGACTTTCCAAACCTAAGATCCTTGCCAGTTATTATTATTCTTTCTCTTAGAGTTCCCTGGCCGAGGTCCCAATGTTATCTGCTGCCTAGTCTAGCGGTGAACTCCTCTAGGCAACTATGAGTTTGCGAACTGAAGCCTGGAGTGTTTAGAATGTGTAGAACTGAGTTAGTTTTATTTCTATTTAGCTAGCTGATCTCAAGGTGTGGATAGGGGAGAGTTAACCTGCTACTGTAGCTGGATAACAAAGATTTCAGTTATCAGGATGTAAACTTACAAAAATAAGTTATTTTCATCATTCAAATTCTTAAGATCTGATTCTAGAACCATTTTTCTATCCCATCACGTTTCTTTATTTGGCCTTAGAAACAATGTGATATTTAATTTATATTTTTCTTCACTTTTTCTCTTATTATCACTCCTATAATAATAAAACTCTAGTTTTACTTATGCCTGTAAAACTATTAAACAGAGAGAACTGAATCCTTATTCATATCAAAGGCTTTTTAGAGTATAATTTGAATTATAAACAAAGAATATATATATATTTCTTTATTTGGCCTTAGAAACAATGTGATATTTAATTTATATTTTTCTTCACTTTTTCTCTTATTATCACTCCTATAATAATAAAACTCTAGTTTTACTTATGCCTGTAAAACTATTAAACAGAGAGAACTGAATCCTTATTCATATCAAAGGCTTTTTAGAGTATAATTTGAATTATAAACAAAGAATATATATATATATGTGTATATATATATATATATACATATATATATATATATATAATAGGGAGCAGTAGTATGCTACATCAGAATTAAATGGCAATGTTGGGTAGCACACAATGAAACAGTCACGAGTGTCAAGATATACTACCGTGAAACTCTATAAAAATGAATTTATTATGATTTAACATACTTGTCAATATTAAAAGCTTACTTACACATTCTTATTTTTGTGAGCTGATACAATCTCCTTTGATAATAGGGATATATCATAATCTACTTGAATAATCAAATGCAGTATTGTTTAACTGTAAGTAAATAACTAAATGTGATAGGTATGAATATATGCATTATTGTTTTTGTTCATTAAATGTCGCAGAGATAGGGACCATAGCTTTTACAGCATTAAAACATAGAAATAAACAGAGTTGTGTATCTACCAAGAATCAATAAATGTAATGAAAAGCGAGAAACAGTAGGCTCAGAACTTTCAGAAGAGCAAGGGTTTTTCTTTCCCAGCATTCTCCATACCTTTCAGAATGATTGAGAAGAACTGTAAGAAGTCATACTACAAAACCTTGCCAATGTCAGGACCATCATGTTAGATAACTGCAAAGAGCACCTTTCGTATCCATTGAATATTTGTTACTGGAGTTGACGGTATGATTTCCCTAACTTGTATCTGGGGTTCTTCTCCAATCCTGACATAGAATGAAGTCTGCATTTACAAATAAAAGGATTGCCAGTAAATGGGTCTTCGTTGCATCACCCATAACCCAAGAGCCATAGAGTGAATGGATGATATTGCCAACAACATCAACTGTACAGCATTCATATAAAGATATTTAATGACAAGAAAGTGTAAGTGCATGGCGACCTCCTCTCATCCCCACCAGACTCCTGGTACTTTCAGCCCTCTACTGCTTCCGTTCAATGTGCATCACTTCTTCCTAAGGCAGGCAAACAGTGTTCCGCTGTCTCTGTACAAATAGCTCTGCTTCCATCCTGACTCAATCCTCCCTCTATTCTCCATCTACCCTTACCAGAAAAGAACTGCAGATTTTAAATTTAACGTTGCTTCACCCGCGATATAAACCCCGAAGTTCACTAGTTGTCTGTAATTTGTGTGGCTGCCTTTGATTTTAGTTGTGCTCTGTCTTTCTTTAGTATCAACTCTTAGTTCTATGTGCAAGGAAGCCAACCTTGCTTTTTAAAAACTTGGCTATACTGACCTCTTTTCACTTCTCTTTAAGAGGGAGGAATTTGAGCATAGTACATGGAAAGGCAACATAGAGCATTTCAGCTCAAGCATGCTGTATAAATCAACCTCTCCATCAAGATGGAAGGGAAAGCTCAAGGCAAAAGGATATATAGAAGTAGAAACAGGAGGTTCACCCCCAAAACCAAGACTGTTTCTGAGGGGCAGGTGTTATCTTAGAGTACCTATCAAATAAGTCTAGACATTGAGATATGTTTTATCTCCTTGGTGTCAATTATAAATGGAACTGAAATAAGCACATTAATATACGGTAAACCCTTTCTGGCCATAGACTTTAGCATTCTCCAGCGATGTAACTGCAATTTCTGTTTAGTTCATTCTGTGCTTGTAGTTCTCACATAAAAAATATCATATACATTATAAGTATTTATTGAGAATTAAAGAACATGATAAATGAGTTAATATAGCATATGCTTACTTTGAAGACATTCCCCTTTTCTTTCAGAGATGTTAAGGATAATAATTTTAAAAACAGGCATCATCTTCACTGACATCTCCAAGAGATAGGTGGTGATGGGCTGAGGACAAAGTCCGCAGCTATCATAGATCGTTTTCAAGATCACAAAGATCAGACCAACAGAAACATTAAATACAATAGAAGCAGTTTTCTCTTGTGTATTGTTTCTTCTAAGCCGAGACAGACCTTTCTCAGAAAAGGAGAACTAAAGAAATTCCCCGGGCTTACAGTGACATCAATATGGTGACATTCTTACAAAACATTCCTTCAAAGGGAAGTTGAAAAGTAGGCTGTGGCTCTGCTTCCTGACAACTCTCTGATACTGACTTTAGATTGTGAGCCTGAAGAGAAAGAGTTCTGTGCTTTGGCCATTCAACAATATTAAGATTGGATTTTATGGTCTGAAAAGGCATCTATGCATTCCTTTATGTTGCATATAAAATTGTTTCTGGTGACCTCAGTGTTTATGTTTCAGAAGAATATTGTCAAGTAAAATCTCCCTTCCCTCAATTTCTATGACATCGTTCCTCACTAGTTTCCCTCTCACCTCTCTGTTCACTTTCTTTTCACTTGTATAAAATCCCTCACACATTCATATCCCTTAGATATTGTTTCTGCCCTGTGCCTTCTTTGACTGTCGTTCAGTATACTTTCAGGGATGCTATTTATTAATTTATATTTCATTACCATCTTTCTTTCTATTGACAAGTCCCAGAGAGATCATTTGGTCTCTATCTGTATCTTGAATCCTAGACATGCGCTTTCAATGTGGCCACTTTCACTTGGAGGACTCAGCCCCTCAAAGTCAATGCAACCAAAATCACATCTACCTTTCCCTGCACAGATGGGTCTCCTCCTGTGTTCTTAGCCTCCACGAGTGCTTTCATTGTGACTCAGATGCTCAAGCCAGAAACCTTTTCCTTAACATCCGCAGAATCCTTTTCCTTGGGCATCCATCTGACTCTGTCCTGTCAGTTTCATACCCAAGGAAATCTCATAGATGTTCTGGGAGCCCCTGCCTCATTGATCTCTAAAAGTGCATCCTCCTAAAGTAGACTCAAGGCTGCAGGCTACTTGCCAGAGTTGTTTGATCACTTTCCAAAATCTTTGTGATCACTCTTTCCAAAGCACCCCTGTAGAAAGGATATAGTATTAGAGTATCATAGCTATTTATTATTAGATTGCCCTGCAACTGAATTGATCATCTATACTTGGAATGATTTACTTATGCTTATGAGAGTAATTATTTCCTATCAGTTTACTGTTCAGCAGCATATTTGTGATCATGGAACCATCTCTTACATGTACCATGCTGTGCTTTGTGCTTAGGGATGTGGGTGGGAGAACAGAACTATCTGGGTTCAATTCCTAGCCCTGTCATTTATTAGTTATGTGAAATGATACAAGATAACCTAATCCCTAGTCATTTATAATTTGTGAGGATAATAAAAGAAACTGTGATGTATGAC